TTATCCTGTACTTTTCAATTCATAGTCTAGGATTTTATCTTTCAAGCTATTCAGATTATCAGAGTTCTTCGTTTCTCTAGTGTAAGCTTACTTTCTTGCAATTTAATTCCAATTGTCTTTACATTCGAATTTAATTCAAGTCTTTATCGCTTGAATCTACTTAATCGCATTTACATTTCTGTCATTTCGTTTATTGTATTTACATTTGCTGCACTTATCACAAAAATCCTAAAAATAGTCATACAAAGCTCAATCATCCTTGACCTCAAGGAAGAAAAAGAACCTAGGCCAAGAGGAGGTTCCTTGCTTGGTCGATCAATTGTTTGATTAGAAGTCAGAAGCGCAAACACACTCACACAATCTTTCCATCCAAGCCATCAAGTGGTTTGGTGGTGGCACGCCTACGCATCTCAAGAGAAGAAGGACCAAAAACTCCTTCCATTGGCCTATCCGGCTGAAAAGAGGGAAACAGAAAGAAAATTGTCAAAAAATGTGGAGGTGTGCCATTAGCAGCAAAAAGTTTGGGAAGTTCAATGCGCTTGAAAAGAGAAAAAAAACAATGGTTATTTATGCGAGATTGTGAACTGTGCGAATTAGATGAAAGCGAAAATAAAGTTTTACCTGCCCTGATGTTGAGTTATCATCATCTACCATCATATGTTAGGCAATGCTTTGCATTCTGCTCAATATTTCCCAAAAATTATGAATTCAAGAAGCATAACTTAATTCATCTGTGGATGGCAGAAGGCTTAATTCCACAAGAGGGAAGCAAGAGACCTGAAGACATTGGTGAAGAATACTTTTCTGAATTGTTGTGGATATCTTTCTTGCAACAAGTACAACCATGTGATGGTGGAGGAATAATGGGATACAAAATGAACGATGTCATTCATGATCTTGCAAGATATGTTGCAGGAAAAGAATCTGTGGTACTTGAACATGGTCTTGCACCAAATAGGTCAGCACAGGTTCGCCACTCATCTGTTGTTTATATGAATGGTGCAATTAAAATTCCAGAAACTCTATATGAAGCAGAACATTTGCGAACTCTCGTATTGATCGGAGATTCTGGCTCGTTACAGAACGGAGACAAAATTTATTCAAGTTTTGAATACTTGCGAGTGCTAGATCTCAACAAATGTGATCTTGTTGATCTGCCGAATTCCTTGGGTGGCTTGATATGTTTGAGGTATCTGGACTTGTCTTACACAACTATCACCCAGTTACCTGAAAGCGTACAGTATCTGTTCGCTTTGCAGACCCTAAACCTAATTGGTTGCCATAATCTTGAATCTTTGCCTTTTTTGGGACACATGACCAGCCTAAGACATCTTAACTTAAGTGGATGTGGAAGTCTGACTGAAATGCCGCGTGGTATTGGACGGTTATTTCAACTTCAGACATTGCCATTTTTTGTCGCGAGCAATATATGGAATTTCGGGAATCTCAATCTGTTGACAAATTTAAATCTTTATGGGGAGTTGAATATTAGTCGCTTGGAGAATATTGAATATGCTACAACAGCGAAATCAGCAGGATTGGCAATGAAGAAAAATCTTGAGTCATTGGGACTATACTGGGGTATCATTCCGGAAATTAATAAAGATTCATTCGCAAATTTACCTAATGCCCGACCTCAAGTAGGTGTCTCAGGATCACACACAGCGCCGCAACAGCTTAGAACTTATCTTGCAGGACTACGACAGGGACCTGAAAAAGTTATTCAAGGCCTGCAACCACACAAAAATCTGAAAAAGCTACTTATAGATGGGTACCCAGGAACCAAATTTCCTCATTGGGTTCTCCCAAATCTTATTGCCGCTGATTTCACCAACTGTGGAAGTTGTGAACATCTTCCAGCTCTTGGGAATCTTCCGCTACTTAAGACGCTCTCTCTGCATGGAATGCATGGCGTTAAGAGCATTGGTACAGAGTTCTATGGTGACGGTACACACATTTGGTTTCCCTCACTCGAAGAACTATCAATAAGTGATTTTGCAAACTTGGAAGAGTGGTCAAATGCAAATGATGGAAATGAATTCCAATTCCCTAAATTGAAGGAATTAACTGTAAAGAGTTGCCCAAACTTAGCACATATACACTTACCTCAGTACCTTCAACATTTGGAGCTGCGGGACTGTAATCCAATGATGATGTCCGTAGCAGATTTAAGTTTGCTATCTGTGCTTATTCTAGAAAAAATTCCAGACCTAGTGTCTCTTCCGGATGGCCTCTTTGCATCACCTAATCTGTCTTCCTTGAAGATTTTGTCTTGCCCCAAGCTTCATTCAATGCCTTTGCACATGCCAAACCTTAGTTCTCTGAAATCATTGACTATTCATTGGTGTGAAGAGCTGGCCTCTCTGCCACAAAGTTTGCAGAACCTCAAAGCTCTGGAGTCACTGGAGATTAGTGACTGCCACAGTCTAACATCCCTGCCAGATTGTGGAATTGCAGGTTTGGGTTCGCTTCAAACTTTGTCCATTGAAAACTGCAGTAACCTTACTTCTCTGTCCTCGAGTTTGGAACAGCTCACGTTGCTTGAGCACTTGACCATCAAGTACTGTCCAAAGCTTGGTTCTTTTCCAGCAGGTGTGCAACACCTCTCCTCCCTTCGAAATTTGATCGTTCTGGGCTGTCCTTGGTTTGATTCTCTGCCAGAAGGGTTGCAAAATGTCAAGACCCTGCAAAATTTGGAAATTAGAAGCTGCTCCAATCTAACAGCTTTGCCAGAATGGTTTGGGGCTCTTGATTGTCTTCGATCTTTGATCATATATGAATGTCCTGAGCTTGAGGAAAGATGTAGGCACGGTAGCGGTGAGGATTGGTTGAAAATAGCCCATGTCCAGCATAAGGACATTGGATCGCCTCAGGTAAGGTAGTCTGGCAAAACACGCGCTTCGGGTTCTCACTAAGAAACTTGTGTTTGACTGTCATCAACAAGCTATTTTCATTATGGTATGTCATACCTCCTGGTGTTGTGGTGTGCTTTTTTATTTTCTCTTTATATCGGATTTCTGTATTTCTATGTACAAAGCTGTTTTGAGAATCCTTTGGCTTTTTATTTGTATGGATGCTGTCATGGTTTTGTAGTCAATTCATGCCGTGGGTTTTCCTAGTCAAACACTTCTTTCCTTGCAACTGACCAGCTGGTACTGAGACAGGAGAAACTAGAAGGGAACGTAAATGAACCAACAATAATGCTTTCTAAGGAACGCAAAATTGTGTAGCAAACTATGTGGCATCTGCCACATCTTACTTGACAACATGAATAAAATGAGAAATCTAGAATACCAACATATATGATGTGTGTTGACAATTTTGTTTATTAAAAACAGATGATGTGGATCATTTGAGTTTGGTGTGAATGACTTTGTTCGTGAACCAGACGCAAAATTTTCTCTCCTTCTTCCTAATCCAAGTAATTGTTGTTTAGCTTCATATAAACCAGAATTCAATGTTTTTGACAAAAAGAAAACAAGCAAGAAGTCAATGTTATTTTCTTACTGAATAAATATTGCTTAAAGGGAGAGACTCTTATATCTCCTGCACTAAATCTCTAATTGCTACATTTAATCACAAAGAAATTTAGAAATAATTATGCAATATCATGTTAAAAAACAAAAGCATACACAGATAAAATCACATGATATGGATTAGAAAATACGACGGCTCATATCCTTGTGAAAGAAGCATTATAGTTCACAAGGAACCTTTGAACAAGATGCAGGAAACTCTCTCATAGACTATAAGGCCACCTCTAATGGAACTGGGCCAAACCCAAAATTTGGATTTTTAGCCCGAAAAGCTTCTCCAGCCATGTACACGAATGGGCTAAAAATGTAGTCTAGTGAAAAACCCAGCTGCTATTCCGCCTTGTCTATTGCCTGGATCAAAAATTGGTGGAGCCTACAAGCCCCATGCGTAGACATCATTCCAGCACATGTGATGGCGGACCCCATGCAAACATCATTCCAGCCCATTTGAGCTGCTGTTTTGTTTTTTTTTAAGGGATATTTGTAGAAATGTCACATAAATTTATATATCAGTTTCAATTTGTCACCTTAAAGAAAAATTTAAGCGATATACCTTGTCTATTGCCTGGATCAAAAATTGGTGGAGCCTACAAGCCCCATGCGTAGACATCATTCCAGCACATGTGATGGCGGAACCCATGCAAACATCATTCCAGCCCATTTGAGCTGCTGTTTTGTTTTTTTTAAGGGATATTTGTAGAAATGTCACATAAATTTATATATCAGTTTCAATTTGTCACCTTAAAGAAAAATTTAAGCGAAATGTCACCTTAAGTTTTCAAAATTCATGACTTGTCATCTTGTATAGCAACATTGTAATATAGCGGGAGAAATAGTGTAAGCTTGATTTTTTACTCAAGTTAAATCATAATTCCTTGAAGGTGTCAAAAACTAGTCTATTTTGCTTGAGACTAGCAAGCAATGTGCACCACGTCTGCGCCATATGAGCTTTGGTATAGTTGACTGTTACCACATTGGGTTTTTTTAAAACATTATTCAAATAAGTTTAGGGTATAAAGTAAGTCAAAAATGAAGTTTTAAAGGCAAATGAAAGAAAGGAAAAAAATCAAAGAGAAAAATATGAAATAGACAAAATAATGAGAGTAAGCTCTATATTACTTTATGTTCATATCTAGGTTAATACTTCAAATTTGAATGGGATACCACAACCTTACAACATGCATCCCTATAGATAGGGAGGTTACAAAACATGGAATTTATAATGGTATGTTGACAAAAATAATACGTCGTAATCAATGATGAAGGTGGAAAAATGTCTTTCTTTTTGGGTGAAGGGTAGTGGGGAAATTTCTGCTGAAAAAGATGATAGAAGTGAGGTAATTGAGTGCAAGTTTTTCAAAGAGGGGCCATGAGAATAGTGATTAGGATAGATGATAGACCTTGGCTTTGAGTGTGAATCACATATGTTCTTGCTTTTGAACATCTATATATTATTCTGTATGGTCCTAGTCCCCTTTTGGTATCAGAGCCGTAAGCATTGAGTGAATTGAGTCTAAATCTGCTACTCATATCGCCCAAGTGGCTAATTTAAGTCTTCTGAGTTAGCAAGTCTCTCAAGTTTCTTCTAAGTTGGTAAGCCTCTCAAGTTACTTCCGAGTCTCCTCCAAGTTATCTAGTTCCTTAGGTTCCCCTCTCTCAAGAGTCCGTAAGGTAAGACCTTTGTCCAAACAGTAAGTCCCAGTAGAGGCATGAGCTGTTAGGCACAAGAAGGTGAGAGAGAGAGAAAACCCATAGGTCCTTAGGTACCTTAGAGTCAGTCTTAGGAGTCACCCAAGAGTCTTTCTAACCTGTTTCAGAGGCATCAGTTTCAACTATTTTAAAAGAATTAACTGAAGGAATACCTAGGCATGGAAGTGACTTGACATGAACTTTGATTTGTTTAACTATATCTATATGACTCAGAGTCCAGGCAGGAGGATTGCTCTGGAGACGATCAAACAGGGGCTCACGTAACTTTCTTAGATTTTGATAAAAATCAGAAACATAATTCAAAGATCCTAAAAATCTCTGAAGTTGACTCTTCTCAAGAATTTGATCTGCAAACTTATATGCAAACTGGATAACTCGGTTGATTGGGCTTATTTGACTTTGGCTTATGTTGAATCCTAGAAACCTGACATTAACTTGGAATAACTTGATCTTCTTGGCTGAAATGACTAAACCATTAGTTTTAACTATCTGTAAAAACTTATGTAAATGCTTCCAGTGCTGCTCAATTGACTCAGAAAAGATAAGCACATCATCTATATAAACTATGGAAAATTGACTATAAGGATTAAAAATTTCATTCATTATGTTCTGGAATTCACTAGGCCATTTTTTAATTCAAAAGGCATAACATTCCACTTGTAATGACCGAAAGGGGTTACGAATGCGGTTTTGTACCTATCTGACTCTTTAACTTGAATTTGCCAAAAACCACTTTTCATATCAAATTTACTAAAGATAACTGTCTTTTCTAATCTGTTAACTAAGTCTCTTTTATTAGGAATTGGGTATCTAATCCATTCTAAAACTGAGTTAAGGGGCTTATAATTGATAACTAGACGAGGGGCTCCTGTTTCTAACTCGGCATTTTTCTGAACATAAAACGCTTGACAAGACGAGGGGGATTTACTCTTTCTAACTATTCCTTTGTTGACTAAATCCGTGACTTCGGCTTTGCATAATTCCATTAACTCTTGGCTCATTTGAATTGGACGGGCTTTGGTAGGAATATTCTTTTCACTAAATGACTTGACATAAGGTAAGGAAACGACATGTTGCTTTTGGTGCCAAAAAGCATTGGGTAAATCAGAACATACTTCATTTTTTAACTTTTCTTCAAATTTACTAATTTGCGACTGAAGTGACTTGTCGGTTAACTGTTGTTCTACTCGTTTAAACCTAATTTCTTCTTTTAAAAAGTTAACTTGGTTTGTTTTACTCTGAATTAACTTGACTGACTTGGAAATAGCTGACTTCTGTAGTGACTTAAGACTGTGTAATTCTGGCTTAGTTAAAAACTCAAATTTAACTCTTTCTCCTAATTGGCTTGAGGTGACTCCATCATATTCTACCTGAAAGGAACTCATAAAGTGTTCAGGAGTTGCCATGTCGAATTTGATGTTGCAAGGAATCTAAATTTATTCGTTTGTTTTACTTTAAATAATTTGTACATTATCTGAGTTGTGACTGTTGACGAAAGAACTACGTGTGGCTTGATCCCTCACCCAAGGATACGTAGGTAGCCTGGGATCTCACCTAGGTGCAACCGCGAAATAAACTATATTTATAAGGGTTTGATCGATGTGGGGTTTGTGATTGGATTCTGGGGTGGTTATTGGATTTGAACCCTATTTATTTTATTGTTGGGTTCGGTTTTTGAATATGTGTGTACGCCTGAAGCTTAATTTAAACTTGAGCGAGATCAAATGCTGGTTTATTTCCTCAGTCATCACTTGACTGAATGTTATTAAATAGTGTATGTGGTTCTGATAGGTCCTAGGACCTTTTTGAAGTAAAGGTTTGATTTTAGGTTTGGTTATCTTGTTTAACGGGTCTGAGGTCCTTATGACAGTGTGTATTGCATTGTGTGTGCTGCCAATTGAGATATATTTTAACTTTTCTTCAAATTTACTAATTTGCGACTGAAGTGACTTGTCGGTTAACTGTTGTTCTACTCGTTTAAACCTAATTTCTTCTTTTAAAAAGTTAACTTGGTTTGTTTTACTCTGAATTAACTTGACTGACTTGGAAATAGCTGACTTCTGTAGTGACTTAAGACTGTGTAATTCTGGCTTAGTTAAAAACTCAAATTTAACTCTTTCTCCTAATTGGCTTGAGGTGACTCCATCATATTCTACCTGAAAGGAACTCATAAAGTGTTCAGGAGTTGCCATGTCGAATTTGATGTTGCAAGGAATCTAAATTTATTCGTTTGTTTTACTTTAAATAATTTGTACATTATCTGAGTTGTGACTGTTGACGAAAGAACTACGTGTGGCTTGATCCCTCACCCAAGGATACGTAGGTAGCCTGGGATCTCACCTAGGTGCAACCGCGAAATAAACTATATTTATAAGGGTTTGATCGATGTGGGGTTTGTGATTGGATTCTGGGGTGGTTATTGGATTTGAACCCTATTTATTTTATTGTTGGGTTCGGTTTTTGAATATGTGTGTACGCCTGAAGCTTAATTTAAACTTGAGCGAGATCAAATGCTGGTTTATTTCCTCAGTCATCACTTGACTGAATGTTATTAAATAGTGTATGTGGTTCTGATAGGTCCTAGGACCTTTTTGAAGTAAAGGTTTGATTTTAGGTTTGGTTATCTT